GAGACATTAACGGAGACAGACAGACAGAAACATAGACACACTCACATACACAGCCATTTAGTCACAGTGACCGAACGAGAGAGGGAGACATTAACGGAGACAGAGAGACAGAAACATAGACACACTCACATACACAGCCATCTAGTCACAGTGACCGAACGAGAGACGGAGACATTAACGGAGACAGACAGACAGAAACATAGACACACTCACATACACAGCCATTTAGTCACAGTGACCGAACGAGAGAGGGAGACATTAACGGAGACAGAGAGACAGAAACATAGACACACTCACATACACAGCCATCTAGTCACAGTGACCGAACGAGAGACGGAGACATTAACGGAGACAGACAGACAGAAACATAGACACACTCACATAGACAGCCATTTAGTCGCAGTGTCAGAACGAGAAACGGACACATAGCAGAGAAAGAGGGACAGACAGAAACATGCACACTCGCACAGACATCTAGACAGTGGCAGAACGAGATACAGAGATATAATTGGATAAATAGACAGACAGAGGACAGAAACTTACACACACTCGCATATACAGATATCTAGACACAGTATCAGAACTAGAACCAGAGATATAAACGGATACAGACAGACAGACTGAACCATACACACACTCACATATACAGATATCTAGACACAGTGTCAGAACTAGAACCAGAGTTATAAACGGATAGAGACAGACAGACAGACTGAACCATACACACACTCACATATACAGACATCTAGACAGTGGTAGAACGAGATACAGAGATAAAACGGATAGAGACAGACAGACTGAACCATACACACACTCACATCTACAGACATCTAGACTGTGGTAGAACGAGATACAGAGATAACACGGATAGAGACAGACAGACTGAACCATACACCCCCCCACATACACAGACATCTAGACACAGTGTCAGAACTAGAACCAGAGATATAAACGGATACAGACAGACAGACTGAACCATACACACACTCACATACACAGACATCTAGACACAGTGTCAGAACTAGAACCAGAGATATAAACGGATACAGACAGACAGACTGAACCATAGACACACTCACATATACAGACATCTAGACACAGTGGCAAAACTAGAACCAGAGATATAAACGGATACAGACAGACAGACTGAACCATACACACACTCACATCTACAGACATCTAGACAGTGGTAGAACGAGATACAGAGATATAAACGGATAGAGACAGATAGACTGAACCACATACACACTCACATCTACAGACATCTAGACACAGTGTCAGAATTCACATATACTCATATGTCGACACTACACTAGAACGAACGAAAGACAGACACACATGTAGTACTAAAATGTAGGTAGATGCACGGTCCTCCGCTGTCAACGGTAAGAGCACTTCCTTGATTTTGTGTACCCATAACATGAATGTGCTTACACTTTTCCAGTATAAAGTGATAACTAATTCTTTTCTTCAGTGATGACATCTGCTGGTCAACTCTGTGATGATTTTCCCGAAGACAGCAATATAGGAAAGTCACTTGATGGACACACGTACGCCAGCGTGTCTATGTTTGGTTATCAACAGTGTATCTTACTGTGTCAGAGGCGTCAGGAATGTAAGAGCGTCAACTACCAAAAAAATCAACTCACCTGTCAATTAAATACCCAAACTGTAAACAAAACTAGTATGCTGACTAAAAGAAATGGGAGTGTCTTTAAGAGCATGGACGGGATAACATCTCAGGTAAAACAATCTTTCTTTGCCCTTTTTATCGTTTTTCTTATGTTTGGTTTGGTTTTATAGGGTGAAACGTCCTAACAGCTAAGGTCATTGAAGGACGTGGGTTATGTATACATGCATGTGTTTATGTGTACATCGGTATAATTGCCTCCTTCTGGTAATGCAGATCTGATGCCGACTTAATAGTGCTATCTCTCTGAAATACATAATTAACCAGTAGGATACAATTTAAAATCAAAGAAATGTGTAGCAAATGGTAAGGATATACAATTCATCTCATTAAATTGATCATTTTCTGTTGCTTATATCTTTATTAAATATCATTTCTGTTTTAGCGTAGTATTGCTCACGTTTTGAAGCTTTAACTTGTCTTATCTTCCTTGTCCTCTACAATGTACTGGACAGTAAAGTTGAAGCGGGAACTTAATCATTTTAAATGTATTTTCTATGGTCTTATACAAGTTATGTATCATGTATTATGTATTAGGGTGGTCGGGTGGTGCAGTGGATATCGTACTTGACTTTCATTAGGGAGACTGGCGTTCGATTCCCCGTTCGGACGTGAAAAGGTTCAGGTCACCTGCCCGACTACGTGGGTTTTCTCCGGGTACTCCGGTTTCCACCCACATTAACACCCCCGCCCGCCAACATCCGGGCCAACAAGAGTGATTAATATGATTTGAAATAACTTGTTTCATAATTGTTGTAAAATAAATAAAGTTTATATTTGTATCAATATTTTAAGTCTCATCTTCTAAGCCCGGTTTTCCGCTGGGATTCGAACTCCCTCCCTCGTCAAACAAATACATCAGCAAAAAACTATATGCCTACATAATCATACACTTATAACAACATAGGTTTTCAAACTTTCTCATACAATTACACTAGTGCTTATCGAGAGCTACAAACACACTTGTATTCATACCTTCTCCTTCAAAAGCAGTAACCTTGAATAACACACCCGTGTTAAAACGCTGGCAAATGGATTGGTTCGGTTTGGTTGATTTATTTAACGTCCTATCAACAACTTAGGTCATATCAGGACGTGCCTCCACGTGTGTAGTGTATGTGTACCTGCGTGTGTGTATCCAGGAGACAGGGCACGTTGGTATGCTTGCCTCCTTATGATAGCGCGAATCTGATGGACCATGCCGGGTATTGGGGCTGATCAGTCGCCAATTACTACACATCTTATTGTATATAATCATTGTGCTTCTTGCTAAATTGACGTAATTAAAAATAATTGTTATAAGGAACACATCATCAGGATCAGAACATGTTTGATAAGATAAGTTACGAAGGTACGGCATTTCAACAAGATTTTCGAGAAGAGAGAAAACATGTTCATAGAATGACTAACTACATGTACATGGGCGGCATGTTAAGGACAGAAGACGAGGGACACTCAGTGACGTCTGATATATTTCTCTCCTATAAAACAACGTAGAAGTCTATCGAGGTTTCTACATATTACATCAAAATTGTTTTAGTATGCAACAATTTAATGTTTCAGGAGCCCGGATGTCAGAAGAACACTTGTCCACTGTACAATGAATGTGTGGTCCTGCATAGCGGTGACACTGTTTGTGCAGGTAACGTGTGTAATTATACCTATTCGGTGTTAGTGATTTAATCAGCAAATCATAGATTAAACCACGTATATGAGATATTGCCAACGATATTTGATATTATATCTATTCGGTGTAGGTATAAATCAATAGTTTAAATATTGTACCAAGTGTACGAGATAACTCAAATACGACGTTAGGTTATACCCAGTATAGGAGATAACGTCATCACGACTTTATCGTATACCTTTTCGGGGTAGGTATACATGAATACTAAGTTTAGGAGATATTGCCAACATAACTTTATACTTTATGTTATAATCATTCAGTGTAGGTATAGATCAAATGTCTACAGATTAAGTGTAGGGATAACGTCAACACGACCCTTTGTTATATCTATTTGGTGTAGGTATACATCAATAGTTTATAAAGTATACCCGGTATACGAATAGCGCCAACACGACTTTAAACATAAATAGTCTACATGTTATACCCAGAATAGGTGACAACGTCAACACGACTTTGTACTATACCTATTCTGTGTAGGTATACATCAATAGTCTATGTTATACCCAGTGTAAGGATAGCGTCAACACGACTTTGTATTATACCTATTCTGTGTAGGTATAGATCAATAGTCTATGTTATACCCGGTGTAAGGATAGCGTCAACACGACTTTGTATTATACCTATTCTGTGTATGTATAGATCAATAGTCTATGTTATACCCGGTGTAAGGATAGCGCCAACACGACTTTGTATTATACCTATTCTGTGTAGGTATATATCAATAGTCTATGTTAAACTCGGTGCAAGGATAGCGCCAACACGACTTTGTATTATACCTATTCTGCGAAGGTATAGATCAATAGTCTATGGTGCGAAGCACCTGATCAGGTTATAAGATTTATGTACGCATAGATTTAAATTAACGACACAAAGTAATACAAGCATGAAAAATAACCCCATATGAATATTATTATACACTTTATTTATTTGATTATATATCTGTATAGATGGACACATGTACCAGTATATATACATAAATAGACACATGTACCAGTATACATGTATATATGCACACATGTACCAGTATATATGCATAGATGGACACATGTACCAGTATATATGCATAGATGGACACATGTACCAGTATATATGCATAGATGGACACATGTACCAGTATAGATGTATAGATGGACACATGCACCAGTATAGATGTATAGATGGACACATGTACCAGTATATATGTATAGATGGACACATGTACCAGTATATATGCATAGATGGACACATGTACCAGTATATATGCATAGATGGACACATGTACCAGTATATATGCATAGATGGACACATGTACCAGTATATATG